TTTAGCATGTTCCGGGACGGATTGGGTAGCGACTCAGGTTACCAGAACGCCTCCTCACCTTGCAGTTAGACTAGAAAGCAGAGCTGCAGTCATTATCTCAGAGCCACGTGTCATCATGCGCCTAAAACTGAACGTATAGATTTAAATCCAAAACGTGAAACAGTGGAACCCACAAAGCTGCCTTTTACGTTTCTGTCCCTTTTTGACTACATCTTCATGATTCCGTTGCAGCTGATTTGCTGTTAATCTTTACATAATAAATCAAGTTTCCTTCTCCACTCGCCAAACCGTTAATGATGACCTTTCTGCCGCCTTACATTGTGCGATATTTTCAATCGTTGCACGCAGCTCCAGCTCACACAGTAAGACGAAACCCGACGCTCTGATGCGTTCCACCTGCTCACACTGCACATCCAAAACCCACGTTGGACTCGGCGCTGAGAGGTGGGCCTGGGTGGATTTGTTAATCTGGAATAAGAAGAACTCCCGTTTGCATATGTTCAGTGTTTGAGGTTCTGCTAAATCGGCTTGTAGCTCTGCTTCCACAGCAGGATTTGTCCACGACCTCCTCACAACGTCCGCCTAAAATTTTCCCTTGACCTTACGATTCCTGATGGGGAGGTGGTTGTGACCTCGTTACCCCCTGTACGCTACACTACGCACCATCAGGTGTAAAGTCAGCCTGATCAAAAAATTTTCACACGACTGCAGAATCACCCCGAAATATGCAAAGACTGGTTCATTGTATTCTTGGATTTATTAAACCCTTCCTCTCTTCTGTTAATGTTAGCAGGACTTCCTGTGTTTGGATTTTAGTTTGGCAATGGAGCAAAATGTGTAGCTCCAGTTATAAATGTTTAACCATTATTTTACACTAAATCTTCTTGTTTTAACTAAAGAGAAGCTGTTGAATTTCTACTAACCATCATCAGTCTAACCTGCCTGCTGTTTGGGTAAAAACAGCGCTCTGTGATTTAAATCTAAAAGGCTTTGGATTAAAGGTCTGCTGCTTTGTGCGTCACAGGACGGGCTGGTCTATGCAGTGGAGTTCTCCCATCGATCCGGTCGAGATCTGCTGAATGTGGCAAAGAAACGCACCAACATCATTCCCATCATAGAAGACGCCAGGCATCCGCACAAATACCGGATGCTGGTCGGTACGTAGAAGCGACGTTCCTGCCTCTCATACATGGGTCCCCATTTAAAGGGACGTTTGGGAATGATTGCATCTGAAGAAGATCACTGGTTGGATGTATTTTCTCTGGTACCAAATCATGTGCTATATTGAGTGAAACCTTTCTTTCCAGGCATGGTGGATGTGATTTTTGCTGACGTGGCGCAGCCTGACCAGACCAGGATTGTTGCTCTGAACGCTCACAACTTCCTGAAAAATGGAGGACACTTTGTCATCTCCATAAAGGTTTGTCTACAGCTCTGTGGAACGAACATTAAACCTCCAGACGAATGTCTGGAGGTTGAGAATAAACTCCTTTTTGGTTTCAGATGTCTTTAAAAACGTTTGATTCAGATCCAGTAACTGATGTGCAGCAGAGGATGATTTGTGATTTTTGAGTTTGAAACATTTAATCCGATTAATCAATTATTGGAATAATTTAGTAATTGATTAACTGGGGATTAGAGACTGTGAAACAAGCCTTTAGCTGACAGAGCGACCCACTTAGAGCAGGAATTATACTAAGATTGTAAAAATATATATACATTTAACATAAAAGAAATCATGTTTTGTTTGTCAATCTGCTCTATAAGGAACTAGATAAAGTATTAGATTAGATACATTTTCTGTGAGTAATCATTACTCAATCTGCAATATAATGTACATTGTGAACACTGAATTTTTAAACCTGTGGTTTCGTTGTACAGTTTAAGCTGTAGCTGCGTATAACAATAAAAAAACAAATAGTATATGCCCAGCTTTGCAGTCACTAAAGATCGTTGCCTCATGCTCACAACCAGCACGATGCGCTCACTGATTCACAGATGGAAATTGGCCAAAGTCGCTGCTTAAAAAATTATCTGGATATTCTTAGATAAGATCAACAATAAAGCAGTCGAAACGAGTTTCCTTCGCAGGGTGGGTGGGCGGGCGCACCCTATGAGATCAGGGTGAGGAGCTCAGTTAGGCTTGGAGTAGAGTCGTTGCTCCTCCGCGTCGAAACGAGCCAGCTAAGGTTGCATCTGTTCCGGATGCCTCCTGGTCGCCTCCCTCCAGGAATGTCCCATTGGAAGAGGCCTTGTGGAAGCCACAGGACACGATGAAGGGACTGTCTCTGAGCTGGGCTGGTGTCGCCTCCTGCTCCCCCAGAGCAGCTGGAGGAGGCGCCTGTGGATCTAACTGGGCATCTCTGCTTAGGCTGCTGCCTCGGCAACCGGGTGTTCTGTCAGCTTGGCATACCGCGTCAGGCCGGCATACCCATAGTAATACCTATACATAAGACCTGTCTGCTCTCCTTACAGACAATCATGCTGTTTTATTTTTTTGTTTTGTGCATTAAACAAGAAAAGGTGACCACACAGATTAGTTTACAAAAAAAAAACTTGCTGCTCTGTTTGAACAGGATCTTATTAAAGAAGGATCTGCATTTTTTTCAGAGTTAAATGTTTATAGGGAGAAGATTCTAGTATAGTTAGTATTTTTAATATGAACGACATGCGGAACATTTTTATTTCTCCAGTACATGAAGAACCATCCATTTTCCGTCACGCTTCTCCCTGCTGGTGCCTATCTCCAGCTGTCTACGGGCGAGAGGCTGGGTCTACCCTGGACGGGTCGCCAGTCTATAGCCAGGCAACATGAAGAACTACTGAAATTATTTTCAGATTAAAAAACCCAACTGGAATTTGGAAAGGAATTACTTAAGAATTAGGATTCACTTGGTCATAACAACCTACTGAGCCTACTGGCACAATCTATGGGACTGATAGACGCTAACATGCACGCATGCTTATTGCTAAGGGTATGCTGGCCTGACGCAGTATGCTTCTTGAATCAATAAATTTTTTTAGATGTAGAGTTGGTAAATAAGAAAATATAGAAAGTGTTTGGTCATGCTCTAACTCCCTATGATAACTGCACGCATTTATCAATTTATACCTGTACTCGCACCTATGAAATATCAGGATTTTTTTTTTTCTACCAGTAGATGTAATACGCTGCAGGACTCTGTTTTTAGCAGTTAGCTTGTCTAATGAAAGATGAAACCTTGAGAAAGCCGATCTACAAACAATGAACTCTGCTTATAAGGTGCTACTTCAGGGCCCTGGCTTCACTGGGTGTTTTTTTTATTTATTTTAGAAATGTGAACAGTTTTAAAGGTTTTTCTTTTACTTTTAGGCTAATTGCATCGACTCGACAGCAGCACCAGAAGCAGTTTTTGCTTCTGAGGTGAAGAAAATGAGCGCTGAGAACATGAAACCTCAAGAACAGCTGACTCTGGAGCCCTATGAGAGGGACCATGCTGTGGTGGTGGGCATCTACAGGTAAAGCCACGTCCCTGGAAGTTGATATGGGGATTTAAACTTCAGTAAAAACTTTAATTTTCATAATTGTTCACAATGCATTGCTGCTATAGAGCCGCCTGCTGTGTTCTTCATCAGGCTGCAGTAGGTGAACCCTATAATGATGCTTTTGTTGTTTTGTTTTTAGACCTCCACCTAAACAGAAGAAATGAGTGGAAAATGGACAGAAGGTGACCCCACCATCACTGTCCACTCCAAAGAAATCCCCTTCAAGTCACCCCGTCTACCTGAAATACGCTTCCAACTCTTGATTCCATCGCAGGAATACCTTCATGTTCTTTAATAGTCCGCTTTAGTTTGTCATTTTTAACATGTTGATGTAAAATAACGTTCGACCCATCTGCTTTTTATGCCTTAAAAAAAAGATGACATAACTTTGAGGGTTAGATTGTGTTTAATACATGGTAATTAAGATATATCTTAAACCTTAACATACAATAGATTTGGATCTTAAATGAATAAATCTGTATTCTCTCCAAAGTCTAAGTACAGCACTGTAGAAACCGATAACTGTGAGAACTTTGCTTTAGAAACGTCGGGAAAAGTCATTTCTGGCACTTTTCTCCTACAGTTGCTGGCCTGGATTTCTCAAAGATGAGAAGGAGGCAGATCTACAGTCCTGCCCCAGTCCTTTAGTTCTCATCATTTCTGATGAAAGACGGATTAGATTTACTGACTGGTTAATTCAAGGAACTGTTTCAGGGTCGGTCTCTACTGCAGTCAGTGTTCATTTGCATAGAAATATCAAATTATATTTTATTTAGTGTCAGATTACATTTAAATGCTTTGAGAGGAAGTGGAATAGAACGATGTCAGTTGGGTTAAATTTAACGATGTGCGTTTATAACTTTCATTTGGAGGCCGACCTTTGGAAATGTGTTTGGTTTAACAAACATTTCTGTTTCAAAACTATACTGGCTTCTGTTAAAATTGCTCAATATTGTGAGGCTAGAAACTTTTTTTTTTTTCCCCCATTTAATTTCATGGAAGAATTTAAATAATTACAGGTTTCAGCATTTCTGTGTTTATTGCAGAAGTCTCTACATTGCTTTCGTGTGAAAACAGGACATTTATTTTATGGGTAAAATATGTATAAAGAACTCTGACTTTCTGTTCATTCTAAAATGTCCTGATTGATATGGTGAAGAATTTGTATTTTATTTTTCTGTTTGAAAGGCAAATGTTTGAATAAATGTTTGTGCTTTTTTTTAAACATTTCTGAATGTTATTTCTTCAGCAGTAATTGACGCTCATTAATTTACTGTTTTTTTTGGGGGGGGGCGTTGGGCGGAACGCTGCTGAATCCATCAGATGAACAAACCTTTAATTTCAGCTTCGTTTTATATTTTTAGTGAATTTTTTTTTTTGACTTGATAAATCCGTATTTCTGACCGCAGTGCGCGCCTTCATCCAGAGAGAACCTCTCTAACTTTCCCATCTGCTACCTTTGCTAACGGCTGGGAAACGTTGGCGTCAGGTTTGTTTTGGCGGCCATTTTGTGGGAAATGTCTGAGGCGCGCGCCGGAGCGGGAGCGCGCGCTCAATGCAGCCCCTCTCCTTTGACCGATATTTCCATCAGAGGGGCTGGGCAGACCGGGGCTAGCCGTAGCTCTGCCCGCTAAACTACAAAGTGCTATTTCATTGCGATTACAGGGCCGCTCCACCGGTTGAGTCTGGCTGTCAAGCATCTTAGCGCGCGCGGACTGTCTTCAAATTCCGATGGCAGTGTTTTATTAAATTGCTAACATGCTAGCTACTAGTTAGCTAGCTAATGTTAGCTTTTTTACCTTTTAAAGCTATAAGAAGGCGGACGGGGTCATTAACCAAGACCTATCTCGCTGTTCTTAATATGTGGTTTATTTTTTAGAGGTTAGACTTGTTGAGCTGAATGAAGTCCGTAGAATAAAGGAGCTGTCGGTGGCAGAGCGGTGGGCAGCCCACCTCTGGGCTCTACTAGCTGTGCGGCACCGGCAATAAGTCCATGTCGAGGGACATCCTGAGCTCCAGAGAAAATATACCATACTTGGGTTGGAGACTATCATAGCCAGGATCACGGCAAAAACCACAGCTTTATTCGGTTTGGATTTCTACTGGTAAAAACGAACGCCTGACCCGGAGGAGGGGGCTCGGTTCGTGTGGACGAAGGGAGAGAGGGGTTCCGAAGATGGCTGCTCCACGGAACATGGTTCGACACACCGCCTGAGGTAAGAATCTGGGGGTCATTCCGGGGTTTTTGCTCTGCAGAACAGGGCTGACCTGCAGGCTTATGTCAGGGGTAGAGCGGTCGCTCAGAGTAGCCGGGAGGTAGGCAGGGAAACGGCCGACCGGCCGCCGTCAGATGAACGGTCCGAACAGGCGTGTTCGGCTTCATCACTGCTTATGGAAATAAGGATGACCGAGCTGTTTGAAATCAACGGTTTCATCTGATGCCGTTTGCATCGCGGAGCTTTGCAGCAATACCCGCATCCCTGCGTCCTGTTTGCGGGGTTAGTGCGGGTTTGATGGACGCTGTGGTCTGATCAGAAAAAAGGTTGATCGGTTTGTGCGATAGGAGCGGCATTCAGCCGCCAGCTGAAGTCCTGTCAGACTGAGACAGATGCCGGCGGAGGAAAAGGGAGGGAGGCGGATGGATGGATGGATAGATGAATGTGGGGCTGTAATTCAGGAGGACAGCGATCGGCTGGGAATTGCTTTATGATTCCTGTTTAGCGTTAAAACTGCCGTCAAACACACTCCAGCATCCTGGTTCTTCTTTGTGGATGGTGGACATCCATCATTTTATCCTCTATGGCAGCTAGCGTTAGCCGTTAGCTTAGCTACCGCATCAGCCCAGCCCCTCTCCAGGCTGGGAGGACTGGGAACCAGGACTGTTGCCTAGAGATGGTTCCTCCCATCACACCGAGATGCTGATGTAGGTTTGGATCAATCAGGGCTCCTCATCTTTACTCATTTGGCTCCTTTACACTGTATTTATTTTCTTTGTGTGTTTTTTTTCCCCATCATAGGTCGCTGCTATGCACTTCAAAGTTTAGCTTAAGATTTTGAGTTTTAAAATGGGCCACATCTGCAGCGTTTATATTAGTGTAGCTATTAAGGTATATTTGGATCACTAGGATGTGCTGCTTGGTTAAGTATTACTAACTCATAGTTGTGTTTTATTGCCTTAAACGCCTCAGGGAAGACTTCTCATTGCTCCTAGTGTTGTCAGAGGAAGGAGGATTTACCATTAGGCAATACAAGTTCCTGGGGGCCCCATAAAACTCTGTTTACATGTATTATTTCTGCACATTAATTATGTTTTTGATAAAAATCCTTTCACTAAAATGCCATCAGAACGCTTAGAATATTCAGTGTCCACCATATTGGATCAGTCCATTTGCTGCACATGTTCAGAAAGGTCCAAACAGACAGCAGCAAACCATTTGAAAACAAACCATGCAAAGAGCAGTGTTGCCAACTTAGCGCTTTAGTCGCTATATTTAGCCACTTTTCAGAACCCTCTAGAACTTTGATAAAAAAAAAAAAGCACCTAGTGCCATATCTAGCAACTTTTTTCTACTACTGGAGACTTTGGAGACAACATCTAAAAGCAGCGAACTCTGCTCTCCAGAGCGAGTAGATTGGTAAACCCGCCTCCTGCTCTCCTCTATCTTGTCTGCTGTCATGATTCATGCAGCTATTATTTCATCCAAATGAAAAATGGAGAACAGATAAGCAGATCATGGCTTGTCTACAGTGAAAAGAAGGACTGGGTTATTTACTTTGGCCTTTTTGGTGACAGAAGAATCAGCAATCAGCTAAGTGAGCTTAGTGCTTGGAAAAAATCTTTCATTCCTTTAGAGACAGTATGAAAAGTCAGCTGAGTACAAAACATAGAGAGGAAAACAAGAAGAAAAGGGACAAGAAGAGAGGGACACAACCTAGAACAGATAATGGATGTCTATTCTATTAACATTTCTCTATCTGTAGAATGGGTCTGTTTGATGTGTTGTCTTCTTAGTTCAGAGGGCCCCCTGCCTGTCTTTGCATAGAGACCCACATTTCCTAAATTTGGCCCTGGTCAGAGGATAGAAAGTGGTTTGGCCCTTTTGTTTTATATGAAACTTTCTGCTGTTTTGGCCCTGATCTTTAAAATGAGGACCAGCTTTTGTCTGTTGGTAAATCAGACAGAGTCAGTGGAAGCGTTCAGTTCTGCAGAGTTTTTATACTGAAAGAATACCAGCTGGTTGCAGTCATGGCCAAAGCAATCCACTAGAAACAACACAAAATCAGTGATTAAGTTAATATGCTTATCATTAGTTTTCTGCTATTTCCTGTTAAAAACCTTTACAGCATCAACATAAATACAGAAGATTCTTTGGAAGAGGGGCGAAAAAAGCAGAAATTGACTCTGGATAAAAGATCAAATGTTTCACAGGTTGGATCAGGACCACTGGGAGGACTTTTAAATAGGTGGTGCTGTGAAAATTTTTGTATTTTTTTTTTTTTTTGTGGAAAAAAGACCCATGAGCCTATAGGCCTATTACATCATCATGTAGCACCCCTCGCAACCCCGCTTAATCCCAAGCGGGGTTGCGAGGGGTGCTGTATACGGGCGAGAGGCAGGGTACACCCTGGACACGTTGCCAGTCTATCTCAGAGCAACAGAGAGACAAACAACCATTCATGCACACACCTAAGGAGAATTTAGAGAAGCCAGTTAACCTAACAGTCATGTTTCTGGACTGTGGGAGGAAGCCAGAGTACCCGGAGAGAACCCACGCATGCTCAGGGAGAACATGCAAACTCCATGCAGAAAGACCCTGGGCCGGGAATCTGACCACTGAGCAGCCATATTTAAAATACAATAAAAATAAATAAGTAAATGGATTGAGATTCACTACTTTATTGTCATGTACACTTCAGTGCATGGAACCAGGGTCTGTAACACACAGACATCATCATTTCTCAGGTGAATATATGCGCTACTAGTTATATTTCACAATAACACTATAACAGCGTCAATTATGTCAGCTGGCAGGAAACTGAGTGTTTATGTCAAATGTGACTATTTGCTCCACAATCCTTTTACGCATACCTCAAGGAAATTATTATATTATTATACTATTGAAACATTATTGAACGGTTCTCTTCATCCATTACACAAAGAACACAAGATCAAAATAAAACTTAAAATACTATGTTAAACTGCATGAATAGATATTAAAGTGCATGGCAGCTCCATGCTCTTACTTCTACCTACAGGCAGGGTGCCCTGCCTTGTTACAGGTGTCCAAATGTCCAGGTGCGCTGTGAGGTCGTAGAGATAGTCTCTCATAAGCGGACGAATGTGAAATGCGTTTCTGTGCCATATTTCCTCCTCGTTTCTGTCATTAGACGATGTAAATTTACTAGTCTGCGAGGGGGAACCACGCTCTAGCTTGCTTGACGTTGCCCAAAGACAGCTGATTAGGCCTCAAAATAATGAAATTAAAATCCAAATACACATAATGGTAAAATTTAAAAAAGTCAAAATGATTTTCCAAAATATTCATAATTAATAATTCATCTCCCTCTCACCAACTCCGCGGCCATGGGTTAGATTGAACATATTTTAGCTCCTTTAAATTTTTCTCTTTGTTTTGCTTATTTCCAACAAATCTGAAAGATATCAGAAAACATTTAAAGAATTCAAATCAATCCTAGTCTATGGCCCTAACATCCTCCGACTGATTTTATATCACTGATCATGAGTTTTTTAGCCTTATGATTTTATGCTAGCAACTCTTTGAAATATCCATATTTTGTACTCTGCTGTAGTGGAGGAGCTAAATGTTATGTACTATGCAGCCTTATTCAGGAATAAAGGGATTTTTTACTGGAAATGTGCCAGTAGTCCATAAATGTTCCTCTGAGTTTTAGGCCCCGACCACACAAAGTCAAAA